GGTGAGTGTTCAAGGGCTCGGCATTCGTCTTTTTCAATGTCTCCCGACCTGACTCCTTTCGGTCGTAGCCCTCTTCGGTCCTGGCTTGGTTTCGGGTCTCCGCCAATTCCTCCATTTGCATGTACTTCTCGACCCGTCGCCGGAGGTCGTTCATGTCGACGAGTGGTTTCTTGCACAAGCTTTTCACGAACGGTCCCGGCCTGAGGGCCGTGCTCAGCCGGTCCAACACCACGGCAGGATTAAGATCGCCGATCTCTATTGCAATCTTGTTGAATCGATCCATGAAGCTTCTCAGGCTTTCCTTCTTTTCTTGGCAGACTCCCGCCAAGGCTAGTGAGGTCGTTTTGTACGACTTACTCGTTGCGAATTGTAGGGTGAAATGGGACGACAACTTGCTGAACGAGTCAATGGAGGCGCTCGGCAATCTCGTAAACCAGCTCAAAGCTCTTCCCTTCAGCAACGTGGGGAAAATTCGGCACAAAGCCGAGTCATCCTGAGTGGATAGGGTCGCTTGGGTTAAGAAAACATTCAGATGTTCCTCAGGGTCGGAGGACCCATCGTATTTCTCGATCGGCATGTTTTTCCAGTGGTCTAGCAGGGTTGCCTCCATTATTCTTCGAGAAAAGGGGTGCCTCAGGGAGTGGGTGGTGGTGTCGGCCTTGTTAGCTATCAGAGAGGTGACGGGTGTTCGGGTGACATGGTCGGTTGGGGCATGATATGCTGACTCCTCTTGGAGGGTAGGAGTTGACGGCACGTATGTCCAGTTAAGGCTTCGAAGCTTGGCGTTCTGGCGGCGTAGTTCGGCTAGCTCCCTGGCGTCGGCCTCTCTCTATCTTCGGATAGCGGCCATTTCCTCACGCAATGCACGCAAGTCATCTTGGAGGTCAGGTTGGTCTCGGTTGGTGTTCGGTCGGACCTCTTGTATCACAGGTTCTGGTCCGGTTTGAGGCATTCCGTACGGGTAACGTTCTTGGTTGGTCATGACGGGGTTGTTCTCGGGGTTGGGGATCGGTTGAGTCGACGTCGATGGTCCTTTGCGTGTTACTACCATATCTCAGTCTCAGTTGTAGAGTTAAAAGGGGCTGAAAACATCTCTTCGGCCCCACGGTGGGCGCCAAATGTTCCTATGTTAGGATACACACTCCAATTATCCTTGTTGTAGCGGATCTGATCCTGGGTCTCGGTCTTCTCGTTCCTATCCGGGTAGTCCGATGTGAGGGGGGGTGTGCCTGCAAAGACACTCCAATGCTCAAGTAAGTGCTCGGCGTAATAAATGTGGTAGTTCAAAAGTTAAAAACATACCTCGTTGGGGTCCTATTTATAGTAGTTCTTATTGGGCCGCGATTAGGGACTGGGCCCCAGAAAATTAGGGGACTAATCCTATGCATTATGCTAATTAATCTCTCCGTAACCATCCTGGCGAGGGTGACAAACTCGGCCGACCCCGCCGAGATGTTTCGCCCCCTCTGGGAGTGGTCGGCGGGTTCGGGGTAATCGAAATATGTGTTTGTGGGTTCGGGTATTCGGCCTAAGTTACGGTCTCGGGTATTCGGACAAGTCGGCTACCATACGGTATAATATATATTGTATCAATTTTATTTTATAAAAATAAATTATCAAATCATCTTGGATTAATATAAAATTTTGTATATATACTTAATATAAGTTATATCAATATCGTTTAAATTATCTTTTATATATATATATATATATATATATATATATATTAAAGAGATAAAAAGTGTGAATGATGTTAGAATAAAATAGTAATGTACGAAATAAAAATGAGAAATACACTAAAATATTGAGTTATTTGATATAGAAAGAAAAAAAAAATAATATTAAAAAAAGTGCCATATAGAAAATATATCGTTATTACTTTCAATTTTTAGTAAAAATAAACATAAATAAATCTTATTCGTAATGAACATGCAAGTGAAGATTCAATTCAGCATTAGCAAATTCTTTTTCCATCATTTTTCTACAAAATTAATGATTAGATATTAACAAATAATTTAAAATTCATGTTTAATACAAATCCATAAATAAGAAAGAAAAAAAAAATTAAACCACTTGCATTATATCTTATTTTCACAAATACAAAGTCCCTATTAGATTCATATTCTTCGTACTTCCATTTCATGCATAGCCAAACAAAACACACATCGAAACTCATTTTTATTATAACTGGATGTCAAATCCCATGCCTAATAATAGTGAAAATAAAGGAAGAAAAAATAGTATTTTCTATTTTTGACAAAGATTACCATGGGAGATGAAAATTAAACAAAAAGGGTGAGAGGTGAAATGGATAAAATGTTGATGGAATCATGCTTAGGAAAGCAAGAGGTGACATCTTAAAGGATTCAAGAAGAACGGGCTAGACATGAAGATTTGGACTAGTCAGAGCCCAATGGGCTTGGTGGGCCTAGGGTACTCTTCACATGAGTTTTGCATTGACCACCACCTTTATTGTGTTCTTGAGTAGTGTAGGATTTAATAATTTTGGTCTTGTATTCTAGATCTCTAGTATAGGAGTTTTGAGCCTTAGGCTTAATGGGCCTAGTTTTGAGTTTCATGGGCCTTTGGGCTTTTGGTACCCAATATGGGACTCATTTTAATTCTTGTAATTTTTCCTATTGATTATTTGATTGGCCATTATATTTAGGCCATTAGATTAGGATTATAGGAGGAATACAATAATAAGTTCATTAGGCTTAATCCAAGTTTCATTTAGGAGTCATTTGACATGAATTTGGATCACATGGTTTAAGCATGGATGGGCTGAACATGTGCATACCAAATTCACTTCAAATGAGCATTAAATGAAACCTAGATGAAGCTAGAAGCCTTAACTCATGAATTAGCACATGGGTCACCAAAATTTGAAATTCAAATATTGGCGCCAAGGTTGCTAGCTTGAGTTGGCGCCAATAGCTAGCCTATCCGAATCTATATATTTCCTCCTTCACTCATTTTGTAGTCACTTTTAAATATAGAGAAATCTGAAATCATTCTTCAGCCATTCTCTCTCCAAGAGTCACCTTGGTGCTTAGCTTAGCTTTAGGAATTCGTTACTTTCTAAAGCTAAACCGTGGGAAATCTTTTGCACTCCTAGCTTGAGTGCTTCCGTCCAAGATTTGGATCATCCAAATCTTGTCTTCTTTTTCACTTCTTCTTGCCGGAATCAAGGTCTCAAGGACAAGATCATTTGCGGATTCAAGCAAGGAAGATACAATACTTCATCTCACCTACTTGACTCCATCAAATGTGATGATGTAATATATATAAAGGGTGAAGGAGAGATGTAATAGAAGATAACGATGGAATGAAATTAACACGTAAAATGGATTATCAAATCCGAAATGATGTGTAATCAAAATTGAGAAAAAATTAAAGATGAAAACAAAATTGATACATTTCTTTCTAATGATAATTATATAGTGATATGAAAATTAGATAATAGAAGAGTGAGAGTTAGATTAAATGGAATGTATAAAGGAAAAATATAATAAAAGATAGAATTATAGAGAAATTGACACATAGGATAATATGCTAACATGGCAACATGTGAGATTGATCTTAGAATGATGTGTCAACATAATAGAGTAGTGTAGCTCGACTTTTATATTATAAATAAAAATAGATATGTGTATCAAATTTTACATAAATTGGACTTTTCTAAAAATGTAATCTAGTGATGAATATTTTACCTATATTTTGAATATCAACATATTATAGGTTAAAATAAATTGTTGTGATGAACTAGTAAATACTTTTGAAACTGAATGAATTTTTGTATATTTGATCCAATTAGTAAGAACATCAAATATAAAGTTGTGACACTTTTAGTTCTTACCAAAATTTTATAAGTGTTCCAACAACAGGATGACATCCTTGTTGCTTTAATATTCACAACAATAAGGGCACCTAAAAAGACACTTTAATGCTCATGTTACTCATGTTAGAGGGAAATTTAGTTTAAAAATGAGATAAGGGTATAATGATACATGGTGCCCCATATATAGGTGTTTGATCTTATCTCTACGGTTAGAGATAATGTTGCATGATTTTTGGAGATATTCTAATCGATAAGCAAAGATATTATTCTTGATCATGTGATCCTTGATTATGGAGGATTTGATACACAGATATCAAATTGTGTGATATCTTGGAGATATGTTATGATGAGTATGTGAGAATATTCATGTCAAGATACCTTGTTAGTTGTTAGTTTTTGATTGTTTAGGGCTTTACTTTATGACGATGGGTTAGAGACCTAATGTAGGCGAGTAAGAGAAAGCCAACTTGAATCGATCAAGCTGGGCGATACATAAGCACCCCAAGCTCTTAAGGTTGAGAAAGTTATAGTTGGAGCTGTCTCGTTGGGTTGAGTAATACATAAGCCCCTAAGCTCCGAGCTCATTAGGATGAAAGAGGTACAATATTGTTTGCTCTGGCTTGGTTGTTCGTTTTGCATTTATGTGTCGTTGTTGACAGTTTTTTCACGTGTATTAATCGGTAGTAAATGATGTGTTGCTTAGGAAATGTAGGTCATTTGACTAGTAAATGGTTTTTATATTAAATAGGGTGGGAGGTACCATTCTTGTTTGTGCTTTGTTGGCATTCTTTGTTTGGTGGGTTTCTTCTTGTATTCTAAAACTGTGAGGTATGTGTCTTTGGTGTGGTGTTTTATTGTTGGTGTTTGTACAAGGTACTTCTTGCAGTGATTTTAGTTGGTTATTTTATGTAGGATATTTATATACAATATTAAAGAGCAATGGTTTAAGAGACATGGTTGATTGTTCTACATTGCGAGATGGTGGCTCGAGTCTTGAGGAGAGGGAGGCCTTGGGGGCGGAGATTAAAGTTCTACAGTCTAAGTTAGATAATAGTCAATTAGAGAGAACGACTTTGGTTGTGATATGTGTGTTGTTGGAGATCAAGAGGGATTGATTGAATCATGAAAGGCGGTGTTTGAAGAAGAATAGGGACGTATTAGCAACTTGTGTAGCTAAGCTTACTATTGAAAAGAATGTGGCTTTGTGGGAATGTGATAAGTATGTTGGGGAGGTGGAAAGTTTGTCTTTTGAGTGATTGTTGTTGTTATCCTAGATTTGGGATTGTCAGGCCCGTGTGATAGCTTTAGAGAATGTCACATCTGAATAGCATGATCACAGTTTCCAGAGGACCATTCAACAAGTGGCACGCACTAGATTTTCCTTATGGGAAGTTGAGCGTTGATTTAAATGTTATTAACGGTGAGCTTGTGAAAGAGGTTGGTCTTCCTTACAAGGATGACACGAAAGAGTCATCTGATGAATAAGAAGATGTGTTAATGGCTTGTGGAGTTGATGGGATATATGTTGCTAGAGCATCATTTTTTGGCGAGAAGGACAAGGATGTTGTGGGTAAGGCTCCTAGGGATGTTGACATATTTTGTTTTTGAAAGTTTGTTTTTTTGCCATATTTGATCAAGATGTTGACATGCCTGATTGAATTTTTTTTTTTTACTTGGTTGGTTTTGCTTTTGTTACACATGCACTCAAAAATGTCGTAAATTTTCTATAAGATCGTGAGAGGTCATGCATGGCTTCTTACAAATTTGTGGTAGCTTTGAGTAAATTCTTCTTGCTCAAAGTGCCTAGGATGCATTCTTTGAGCAACTAAATGTCTACTTCCAACGTTGTTCTATGTCTTGGCTCGTTTAAAGTGAATTTCTAGTAGCTCTAAGCGAATTTCCATAAACTTGAGTAGTAATTCCGCTTAAGACTATGGATTTTTGAATTATCTGCTCCTTGTGATATTTCAAAAAGAAAAACATAAAAAATACCTAGTATTTAACAATTAAACTAAAATTGAAATTATCTCTTGACTAAGTGTTTTGTGACAAAAACAAGATTTAAAAGAATAATATATATTAATAATTGCCTAAATTGAATAAAATATGAATGGAGGTTTTGTCATCATCTTTATTGTCTTATGGCGGGTAGGTTGCTTCTTGAGAAGGGTTTTGGTTTGGGGGTCGTGGCAGTCAAGGATAATTGCACT